TGCACATAAGATGCAGGGCACCATGTTGTACGCTTTCTCCCAACTACCCCATCGAATCGTCAGGGCAATTTGCTTAGCACACCAAGCCTTTCCGTACTTCACATCATACTTAACGAATCCATATATGGATTGTTATAAAGAAGACACCAAAATATCGTTATTGTCATCAACGAGCCCCAAAATACGACAGGCAAGGTAATGTGTAGTGAGCTGCTGATGATTTTCCTTCCCCCTATTTGTTAGGCAAGTGTGGGGTTCAACAACTTTACTTATCCTCCACTTGCCATCACTCTGTCTCTTTCGTGCGTTTAACCTCCACATACAACCATTTTTGCATATCACGTGGAACCTCAACTCCTGGTCCGAATGAGTGACGTTGTACGGCCTATGGTGATACACAGCATAGTCCTAAAGAAAGAGCTTTATCTCTGACATTGTATTGAATATCATCCCCTTCCTAAGGGTTTCTTTCTCATGGTCATACAATGATTTTCTACACATCTGGAGACCGGTGTCACAAACTGCCATATCCGTCATGCTAACATCCCTATAGTTCGGAACGCCCCTGAAAGGTACGTTCATCGACCTTAGTTGCTCAAGCTCAGTCGCCGTGTAAGGTGGTGGTGGAACATACTGCTACGCTTCGCTAATTCTAGCCCATGAATCATAGGGGGTATCATCTGCTGCCAAGTCCGTGACTAGTCTACCCTGAGTCTAGATACCATGCAAAACCTCAGTTGGTACTGGTAATGGCATAGTATGAACCGGTACTGGCATGGCATCAACCGGTGTTGACAAAGTATCTGTACCTTCTTGGTCATCATCAGAATCGTCTTAATCACTGCTAACTACATCACCGATCATGTCCTCGTCCTCCTGCTCCTCCTCTTCCCGTTCAAACTCGTTCACATCGAAGTCATTGCTTATACAACATACTGCAGTTGAATAAAACTACTCCTGCGTCAACTGACAGTCCAAATCCATGTTACCCTGAGTTGCTTCCCCTTCGACCCCTAATTCTTGTTCATTGCCTCCAACACCGTCAATGGACGGGCCGTCCTGGACACCCTGCATCCTGTACCCATTCTCCACCACCACCTCAGCCATGGGCACATTGGAACCTTAGAGCACCCTAGTATAGCGGGATCAGTGAGCAGGGTCGCGCAAGGGCATGAGGACATAGTGTGCCCTAGTCTTCCTAGTATCAAACCTCCCATTCAGTGTAAAATCACCGCCAAACTTTGCATTCAAACGGACACAAAGGTCGTTGATGCTAGGAGGTTCATCAAACCATTCCAATTCTTCTTCCATATCCTCAAACATACCATCTTCTCTCCTAACACTTCCTCCGTATAAAACTCTAACACAACAATCCATCTACAAAAGCATTTCAAAAAACATTATCAATTCATCGAAATCGTCGTACGTAATGTCCATAGTAATATTAATACCTATTCTAATATAACTATACTAACTAATCTAATATTAATATCTATACAAGGCTAACTACAACAACTAATGTATAACTAGACTCACTAGGGGAGTACCGCGGGCAATGACAAATCTTCGCGACGGGGCAGCATGGGGGCGCAGCAATGAGGGCGGTGGCGGGGGCGGTGGGCGGAGGCCGAGTGGGCGACGGAGGGGTGGCGCGCGGCATGCAGGGCGCGGGCGGAAGCGGCTGCAGGAGCGCGGCGGGTAAGCCGCCGGCGGTAGGCGCGGGCGACAGGGGGCGCGGCAGGCGGCGAAAGCAAAGCGGCCGGACGCGACGCAAAAGCGGCAAAGGGACTGGGCAGCGGGATTTTTATCCGGCTCGCGCGCCACCGATCAGTAGCGCCATCGCGCGCTTAAGATCGGTGGCGCGCAGACCTCGCCACGTCATCGGTCGGCAAGACCGGTCATCGCCACGTCATCCTCCCGCCGCGCCACCATGCATGGCGCGGCACAGGCGTTTCGCCGTGCCATGGCAATAGGCGCGGCCAAAAGTGTTAGTTTTGAAGAAAAAAAATAAACTATGTTAAATTTAAAATTAGTTTAAAAAAATGTTAAAAATAAAAAAAATCGATCCATCTGGGGCGCTAGTTTCCATTGGGGCTGTGTGCGCGTGTGCCCAGCTGTTAGCAGTCAACCAACACCAGTGAATGGTACACCTTTGCAAGCACGTGAACACAAGTCCACAAGCAGACAAGCTCCTCAAAATAAACAGTCTTTACTCAGGTTACAAGCACAACAACACACAGTTCTTTACTCAGGAACACAAATGCACTGGCACAATTATTGGATCGTATTCATCATCAGTAACCAGCGTATATCTTACATATATATATTGTGGCAATAAATATTCATCAGTCCTGAGATCTTCTACAATGAGCCGGGTTGCTAGACTGCCACCTGATTGATCCTCACCCAATGCAAATTGGAGCACCTTCATTTTCTCCTACCAATAAACTTATACATTTTATCATCAATGATTAAAGTATGAAAAGTGTTTCAAATTACATATCATCATCATCATCATCATCATCAAAGTATGAAAAGTGTTTCTAATTGGAAATATAGCAGTACAACTACAGGCAGCAGAGATGCTAGGAGCAAACACATGAATCCCTTGTTGCTACTGTTAGGACTCCAATCAACCAATCCTGATTAGATAGATCCTAGAAAGGCTCCAAATTTATGAGATTACTGATAATTGTTCATGCACACAAAGCAGAAATAAATACAAACGCTACACCACAAATCTGATCCGATCCTAACAGTACATCTTGTGCGTGGCAAAAAATAGTTACAGATGTATTATTATTTTTGGACCCACAGAGCTATCAACCAGTCTTCCAGAAAATGGTTTCGCATGCTGCAGGTGGATAATGACATTGCACTGGCCACTAGACGGGTAACAAACAAGGTCCACGACTCATGCAACAAGCAAGGTCTGTTCTGCTCTGGCGAAGTGTAGTAAGAGAAGAGACAAGGGTTGCTAAAGATGATGCAAGAGACTAAAAGGATGAATGCTGCAATAAAAAAGTATCCAGTGAAGGCATGCTGTTTCGGATCTCAAGATAGGAAAAAGAAGCCTTGGAATTTTACTTTGCGCATCAGGAAGATGGATCCCACAAAAAATCCTGCAGCCTTAACATAGCATCCAATGCAGTGCTCAAGAAACACTTGGGGAGATTATTTGCAAAGACGAATGCAATTATTAACCATGCACAACATATTTTTCTTATGTGCTATACCAAGCTGAATGCCAGGACTTTAAACTCCAGATTCAAGTATGTCTGATTCTGTGCAAAATTCAAGTAAAAGATGGGCAAGGAAAATGAGCAAGCAAGTATTCGACTGTCTATAAATATGACCCACAAACTTATAAAACATTTCACCAGACACTAGAGATGCTACCATTTGTGTAACCTAGGTTGCAAACTTCACAACTATTCCCCAAGTACTCAAGTTGGTACAGTGGTGGCAATCGCCATACTGAGGGACAGTTTAGGCAATTTAGGCAGAGATTATGCCCAGAATCCCAGTTTGAACTTAGATCAGAAGGCTCTTTTGACTAGTAGTAAAACTTTCACTTTAACAAAATAGCAAGCTGCAGTTTGGTACCCCGTAAGTTATAGCAGCAAGTAATTAAGTACCCATCTGATCCTAGTTCATCCTATTATCGTTCTGACATTTACTCTGTAAAGACAAAAGGAACTATTGTTTCAGAAGGAAAAATCCAGGTTTCAGAAAGAAAAGTGACGAGAATGGAACAGACGAGATATCGGTTCGCCATCTCTAAAAAACAAGACGAAGCCGATGAATCAGCATGTTGTGTCACACTACTACACGAATCGGCATGAATCAGCATGTTGTGTCACACTACTACAGGAATCAGATAACCAATCTCAAATTCTCAATCATACGACGGCCGATTGATGGGAGGCAAAGAATCGAGCCAACCGGCGAGCGTCGGGTGTGTCGGGATAAAATGCCACAGGCGGAAATGAGTGGGAAACACACCCTAAGCACCTTCATGGATTGGAGAAGGGGCCCATTAGGGTCGTTTGTATGGGCCGGTTCGCCGAACCGCACCGTCCCCGTATCTTGACCGGCGCAGAGGGGAAAACTGTTTTTTTTTTGTTACTACTGCAGAAAGGTGATTTTCTCGCTTATCTCTCTCCGTCTCCCCTAAACACACTACTCTGGCAAAGGCTACGATCTAGCTTTTACTGCACCTCTTTTAATCCTAGCCGGAGATGGACATCGACGGCAACCGAAATGCCCGCCGAATCGTATTTGCGGCACGGCGCCGTTCCGCTGAACCGACGGCCATACACGTAGACGACGTACGAGAGGATGCATCAAACAGTGTATAAAGAGTTTTCCACCCTTCATGCCTTTTGATAAAGTTGGGTACCGTTTAGTTCTCTTCCAAAATACTAAATTTTTTAAGATTTCTCATCACATCGAATCTTTGACGCATAAATAAAGTATTAAATATAAATAAAAAATAAAACTAATTACACAGTTTAGACGAAATCCACGAGACGAATCTTTTAAGTCTAATTAGACTATAATTAAACACTAATCATCAAATAACAACGAAAACTGCTACAGTATCATTTTGTCAAAAATTTCAGCATTTAAACAGGCCCTTGGTGCACTCTCGAGCCTAGAGCCCACTCAGTTTACTTTTATCCGAAAAGGAAGAACATGGTTGCCTCGGTACCCATAACTACATAAGCCATGTGATGTGCTGGAGTTGACTCCTCTACCCGCGTCCACTCACTGTCCTGGCCGGCGTCTTCTCGTGCAGCTCCCATCGCCGCCGCCCCCCCAACCCCCACCCCCACCCCCAGCGCACATCTCCCGTACCCGGTCGGTCTCGGATCCAGCCGCCTCTCTCCAGTCCGTTCATCACCGGCGTCCGATCCGGCTGCCGCTGCCGGCCTCCACTGAGTGCTGCTCAGCTCGGCTGCTGTACGTCCGTGGAGGACGGACGACGGACGACGGCCATGGAGAAACTACAGTGGATTCTCTCAGCCGGGGCCAACTTCTACGAAGAGACCCAGACGAACAGCGAGCTGGACCGCCTCCGAGCCACCTTGCCCAAGGCTCGCAAGCTCATCTGTCGCGTCGAGTGGGGCATGTTCAAGGACAAGGAGCTGGCGAAGCTTCTCTCGCATCTCAAGGACACCACCTACGATGCAGAGGACATCCTCCGCGAGCTAGATGACCAGAGGCTGAGGCAAAGCATACAGGCCGCTGACCGGAGCAGGGCAGGTCAGCTCCTATCTTCCTCTCTGAATCTTGCCAAAATTTGGATCCTTCGTGGCAAAGCAAGGATAAAGGAGATGCAAGATAAGCTCGACAAGGTTGTGGCTGAGATCGAGGGGGATGCTCAATCTTATGGGACTTATGAGCTTTGAGCCATCACAGATCATGCCGGAGACGAGTTCGGTCATCAGCGCCCCGGAAGTTGTTGGTCGTGATGGCGAACGAGATGTGTTGATCGAGATGCTTGGTGTGACGATTGGGCGCGAGGCCCAACGGGATCAGGTGATCAAACTATTGGGAGTGCAACTCGCCGGGACCGGGGGGCAATAGCTCTGACTCTGAAGGTGGTGGATCTAATCGCCGGAAGAGAGAAGCCGCAAGCAATAATGGTGTCGCTTCCACATCCAGAGCCAAGCGACCAAAAGGAAACAGCGGCAGGGCTGGACTTGCTGAGACTACTAACTGCACCAACAATGTTTCTGTCATCTCGATTGTTGGTATTGGCGGTGTGGGGAAGACTACCCTAGCTCAGTTCATCTACAATGATCCAAGGGTGCAACACCACTTTGGTGTGGTGATATGGGTCTGTGTCTCCGACTTGTTTGATAAGAGAAGGATAACAAAGGAGATCATTGAATCCATCCCTGGGAAGAAATTCGACACATCATCATGCAGTCTAAATGCTCTGCAAGTCGAATTGAAGGAGCGTCTGAAGATGTGCCCAAAATTCCTTCTGGTGTTGGATGACATTTGGCCGAATGCTAATGCATATTGGGAGGCATTTTATGCACCTCTGAGGTACGGACCCGAAGGCAGTATGGTCTTAGTGACTACAAGATGTCCAGTGGTTGCTACTCGTGTTACCACAAGCAACTGTGAGCCTGTCCAACTTGAAGGATTGCCTACTGATATATTTTGGGATTTCTTCAGAAAGTGTGCATTTGGTACAAATAACCCAGAGTCATATCCTCACTTGCAAGATATTGGTAAGAGCATTTGCACTAGGTTGTGCGGGTCTCCTTTGGCTGCAAAAACACTCGGGCGCTTGTTGAATATGAGCCTGACAGAGCAACACTGGAGGACTATCCAGAAGAGTGAACTATGGGAGCTGCGGCATGAAGAGAATGAGATATTACCAGCCCTTCAACTCAGCTATTTGTATCTCTCAGAAGAGGTTAAGAGATGTTTCATATTTTGCTCCATGTTTCCCAAGGATTATAGCTTTGAAAGAGATGAGATAGTTAGCATTTGGGTGGCCGAGGGCTTTGTTGTGCCAGGGGGAAGCATGCGTCCTGAAGATGTGGGGATTATTTACTTTGATGAATTGAGAAACAGATTTCTTTTCCAAACCGATCCAAAATGCCCGAATAAAACAAGGTACTTAATGCACGATCTGATCCATGATATGGCTGTGTCCTTTTCTATGGATGAATGCTTGGTGATGCAAGATTTAAGAAACCAGAACAAGAAGAGCAGAATGCAGAATACAGTTCGGCACATGTCGATTGAGGTGGGTGGTGAGTCATTGACCAGAATGGGAGATATTCAACATTTGAATAAACTGCATTCACTTAGGTTTGGAATCAGATTTGATGTTGAAATTACCTGGTTCAATCAGCTCTCTAACATTCTATTTTTGAGCCTAAAAGGCTGCCAGCTGGTAAAGCTACCCGAAAGCATATGTGAGCTGAATAGTCTCCGTTATCTTGATATATCTCATAGCCGTGTACAAGAATTACCTGAGAAATTCTGGTGCCTTTACAACCTACAAGTTCTTGATGCAAGTCATTCAAAGCTGCAAAGAATTCATCAGGGCGTAACAAAGCTAATCAACTTGCGCCATCTAGCACTGCCAGCAGAATCCTCTCAGACCTTGTCATGGGTAAGAGGGCTTGGAAACCTGTCTTGTCTACGAAACTTGAGTGAGTATATAGTTGCAGAAGAGACTGGGCGAGGAATTGATGAGCTGAAGTTCATGAATCAGCTCGACGGAACGCTTTGCATCAGGTCTCTTGCTAATGTTTGGAGCGAGGAAGAGGCTGCTGAGGCTAGACTTGTTGGAAAGCAATACCTCAAGGAACTTGTTCTACAGTGGCGACAAGGATCATTAAAGTTGACGCGCAGTGATAATGGAGTGCTCGAAGGCTTGCGACCGCATTCGAGAATTGAATGCCTTAAAGTCGATGCCTTTTGTGGTGATAGGCTTCCAAGCTGGTTTAAGCCAGAAGACCTTCCAACTTTAAGAAGCCTGGAGCTTTCCTACTGTGTTTCCTTGGAAAGTTTATCAATCCCCTGCTCTGCCGATGGAACACAAACGGGTGGCAATGATGGGACGCAGCATGCAAGCAGCAGCATCAGTCGCAACAATGGAATTGTGTCCTTTGCCTTTACACGCCTCACTACTTTAGGTGTTTTCAAATGCTGGGCGCTGACAAATCTTGAGCAGTTCTTGACCCCAGAGATACTGCCATCCATCAAGTCGGTAACGCTTGAGGAGTGTGGGGATCTCGTATCAATACCGGTTCATACTTTTGTGGGGTTTGCTTGCCTACAGGACCTGAAAATATGTCATTGTCCCAAGCTGGAGTGCCCACGGGAAATGGTTCTGCCCCCCTCACTCCGACGACTCTGTATAGTGAATTGCAATGAGCTGGACAGGTCATTCCCAGCCTGCCTAGAGAACCTCACCTCTCTCACCCTCCTGCAGTTGTGTGGATGTGGCAGGGTCAAGTGCATCCTGTCGAACTCGATCGTCACGCTCACATGCCTGGTAATACATGGCTGCTGGGAGTTGGCATCCATCGGAGGATTGCAGGGGCTTGCATCCATACAGCATGTCGAGCTATCTCACTGCCCTAAGCTTACTGAGGTGCAACAGCCCTTCGAGAAGAAGGAACTACAGACCAAGGAGGGGAAGGAACTACTCAAATATATACATAGAGTTTACTGGATTTTGGATGCAGCAGACCCATTAATATGGTAGTTCCAGATCACCTGTGACTACATGGCTTATCGCAGCCGTATAATGTGCATCCAACGGCTGAGTTGCAGTGCATGTGAGGGGGTGGTTAGATGCAATCCAACGGCTGACTCAATTTTGATCCAGATGCCTCAGTGCCAACCATGGTGATGGTGTACTTTGGCCAACCTGCTGACATATCTACCAGACCATATTTTAGAGGTATTTATTCTACCCTAATTATCCAGCCCAAGCGATGTATTCTCACTGGTATGTCAAAGTTGGTCATACGATTTGTATCACTGGGTTATTCAACTGCTTATATTGGCGACTTTACTTGTGTTCAACTTGAGTGGGAGTCATGTATACTAATGCGAACATATTGTTGCAAATGATTCAGTGATGTTCTAAAAATTTGTAAAATATCACTTTGTTTATCTGATACTCTGATTTGGTTTCAGCCTATTTTGTATGTAGGAACTGAACATATGAAGCCATGATGTTTGGTGTAGTTATCAAACCTAAGCAGTTATTATATCTCACTAATCTTCCTGGCATGGGCTTCTAGGTGCTCTTACTTACTAGCTGTCATAATTTTAGATTTTGGTTTGTCGATGAAAATTGATTATCTCTAACAATTTAGTTTAACCAGAACAAGAACTAGGCATGCTGGTTCAAACATAATATATATCACGATCTGGACACACCTAATTCAAGTTGTATTTGTCAGTTTTCAATTAATTTTGGCATTAATCGGTGTATATGTTTGTCAATATTCTATCTTGAGAGTAGTATAAGGCTGCTTATGTCTGAGAATAACCTGATGAACTTGGTAGTTTCTCGACCTCTTTGACGTCAAAGGTGTGGACCATGCAATTAACTAGCTAGATTTTCCAATTATTTATTCAGGGACAATCGGACAACATATTTGCACGTACTGATATATGCAGCAGAGCAAGATGCTTAGTCCAAATGATTGAAATTCTCATCCAAGCAAGGGATCATATCCCTCTTGGTATAATTTATCTTCTCACTGTCTGCTCGGTAGAGAGAATTTTGATCTAATCCTTGGAATGCACCTCATGTTTTCGATATTTGTTTAAAACTATCGATAAGTCAAATGCTTAATGCGTATAAAGCTAATTGAATCTCTGCATCTCAACGAACGAATTCATTTTGCATAGTATGACTGTATTAGGTGAATACTGTCGTTTTTCATGATACTATTCACTGAAAACATATGCTATTTGTAGGATCCTAGGTTCATCCATTGTTAGCCCCAACAATGCAAAAAATAACTTCAGTTCCATCTTTCATTCATATGGGCTACTCAACAACTGCTTTGGTACTTCCGCATTTGGATCCTGTTATCTAAAAGCGTGCATCTGCATGCTACTATTAAATTAATTGCTGCTCCTGTTGAGTAAGCTGGGCACAAGACACAACATATTGTGTGATAATTACAATTTATTTCTACTCAAATGAGCTTCCCATACATCTACATATGATGTGATACGATGCAACTTATTTCTTCAGCTTAACTTCATGTTTACTCTGTGATATGATGGTTCCGTTTTGCAATATTCATGTGCTTATGCTTATATTATAGTAGAATAATAATGGCTCAAAACTGATGGTTCAGGTTCTGTGCTGCAGTCTTCGGATGCAAAGTTGTTGTGAGGAAGGGGGTTGAATTTGCCTTAGAGCTTGTTCGGTTTAGCAGGGACTGAAAGGGGATTGAAAGGGACTGAGGGGGATTAAATCCCTAAGGGCTAGTTGGTGGACATAAACGAAAAGCAATTTCAAACACCCTCCAAATAAGGTGTGCTACATAGCAATCGAAAAAAAGTTGTTAAACAGTTTCTTTTATGTTGCAAAAACAACAACTCCCATCGCCAAAGCTATCCGCAAGCGGCAAACACATGCATTTTTTTGAGAGCTTCAGATTTGCTTACAAAGCAATTGTTTCTAGAATACAAACACCTTTAGGCGGTCTAAGGAACCACACATGCCTCAGCATAAATACTACTTCTTGCCAAAATATGCGCATGTGTGTTGTGTCAGCGATTCTCGTGTGTGAACCTCTGACTTGACCTCCCAAATTATCTGGATAGATGCACCGGAATCTTTCATTCATATTTTTAATCACAGGCAAGCAGCCAGATACCACCATGACCGTGCGTAGCAGCAGGTCCCAATATAGAGCGAGACTGCTTCTCTACATGCCAATGTCTCAAGTGATTCTGCACGAATTGCATCATCAAAGACTATAGCCGAAGCACCCAGATACCTGCCGGTGGGGGGAATCCTGTCGAATTGTTGTGCATGTACTTGCAGTATATGCGCTATCGACTACCTTATTTCCTTCAACCATGTGAGATCAAAGATGAATGAGTTCACGAAAAGGAAAATAGATAATGGGTTTTGGAAGATATTATCGTGGATAGCCTTCCTGCGGGCATATCAAATTATCCATAGTATAACTAGAACTAGGATTAAATCCTCATACTTCAACATCTCTATCAACAATGAAAAGATCTAGCTTCTTGCATCAGATTTAGAGATGGCAACCGGGACCCGATCCTCGATTCCCCGTTGAAAGGATCTATGGATGGCTAGAGGGGGTGAATCTCCTAATTAAATTTTCTACAAACTCATAAACATAGGCAAAGGTGTTAGTATAAAAGAGATGATCCTAGTAGCCATTACTTGCCTAGCCTATGCAAAACAACGCAAGCCCCCTACACAATTCTAGTTGCAAGAACAAGAAATAAGCACTTTACACAAACAAGCAACTAGAGGCTCTACTGTTGACGATAGTTAACAACCAATTTAAAACCGTCAATTAAGCATGTATAAGGGAATAAATATAATTACTAATGAAGGTTTAGGGGTTTAAACTAATAAATTCCACGATTTTTGGTGAATCTGTGTTTTCAGCAGGGTTTAATTAGAAAACCGTCAAAGAGGACCTAATCGTCAAAGGAAAATACGGAGTTCCGCCGCGGTAACTACGTTGGAAAACTCTAGAACACTCTAGAAGCCACGTCACCGAAGCAGAGAGCAAGGGGATGACATGTGGGGCCGCCCGGCCCCACTGTCAGGCCGCCTGGGCCCCTCTAGGCTCACCTGTCAGCCAGCTTCGTATGTTGGTCTTCCACCGCCTTTGATGATACATCTAGGTCGTTGCTTAAGTAGGTTTGATCCAAGGACTCACGTTGGACCCTCAGGGCTATATAATCCAGCCCCTGCCTCTCCCCCAGGCATATATTAGAAGTCATCAAGTCATTTGAGAAGACAAACCCTAATCTCCTCAGAGTTCCTCCTCCTCCATAGCATAGCTAGTTAGGATAGATCTAGAGGGAGGCAAGCAGGACTTCGCTTGGATTCTCAATCTTGTCAAGAGCGTGGTTTGGTATAAACTTTGTACCCCGCTCTCTCTTGTTTCTCCATTATTTTTATATACTAGTTACAATTGTTATGACAATATTAGTATTCATCTTATTCATATTCTTTATTATGATGTTCAATGTCTACTTTGATTATATATTAGTATAGCTAGTTTATCATTGTGTTTATGCATAAGTTCGTATAGCGCTCACTCTGATGTACATGGGGTGGGTGGTCGACATTGTGTAAGCGCGGTGTTTATACGTTGTTTACCTGCGGATACACCCTATATTCTGGGTCATGTGGTAGATCGCGGATGTGATACTCCCGTTTAGTCCTTTATAGTCTACTCCCCGAATATTGGTGCACGTAGGGTCTGATTACGAAGGTAGAACGAGCTCTGCCCTCAATCTTCCTTAGTAATATCCCTTAGGTGTAGATATGATGATGATCTTAGCCATGATTACTAGGTGTAATTGCACTAATTAAATATATGCTTTGATTTATAATTAAGAATGACTTAGGAATTATTCCTCTGATATTCTACCTGACCATGCTAATGCTATAGAAAGGAGTGCTCTGAGTGATTTATTATTCTCATTACTTATTATTTATACATCTCTTATCTTATGACTTGCCCCTGTCGTGAGTAGAATATTGTCTATGATTTATTTCTCATTCAATAGTATAAGTTATCAATACATATTCATGCTAGACATTCCCAGTGGTAAAAATATAGATAACGATACCTGAAATACTCTTGGGTAAAATGCTACAATGGTATATTATCTGTGCGCTAGCGGATACTTTTCATTTATAGATTTATATATATTCTCTCTAGTCACATAATTAATAAAGAACTGCTTAGTGTTATTCTAGTAGCAATGCTACATAGTACCAACACATATCTCTGACATCATCACTAGGGATGACAACCTAGTAAAGTTAGGAGGTATAGGTTTACAATAGGTGGCTAAGTACTCAAACAAGTGACACGTTAATAAACACCAACATCTACTAAACAACTAAAGAGCTAGCACAAAGAACAACTAGGTTGCACTACTAAACAAAAGAGATAGCTACAACTACCACTAGAGAGCTAGAGCTACCAAGCAACAACACAAGCACAATATATATGAAATAAAATTGCAAGTGTTTAGAACACAAAACAACGGGGCAAGTGACACAATGAATTTTTTTCCCATGGTTCGGTTGCTTGCCGGTAACCTACGTCCCCATTGAGGTGGATCCCAAGTTCACCGCTTCACTTAGAATGCCGGTAGAACACTAGGGACCTCTCCAAACCTCGATTGATTTCACTATAGTTGCTCTTGGTGAATCTCCCGTCGGGATGAGCACAAAACCCCTCACAATAGCCAAAGACCGGAGACACCAACAATCACTAAGATTTTCTCCATGGTCCACCACAAGCACCAAGCCGGCTAGGTGATGGCAATCACCTAGAGTAACAAGAAATCCACAATCACAAATATTACCTAGTGCCACCAAATGTAACCTCAAATGCACACACTAGGGTTTCTCCAACCTCTCACACAAATGAGCACCAAGCTTAGAGAGGGAGAAGAGACGGAGGAGGTGTTCTTCAAGCTCTCAAGATCAACACTTAGAGCACT